GAAGCAAATGTCGTTCCACAGCATGTATGGTCTAAGGGTTTGGAAAAAAAGCAGCAATACAGAAAGGAGTTATGCACAACTCTTGAATGAATGACCACCAACAATCAGCAATAAGCCATTTTCTGGGTTAAATTTGAATAAAATATGTTACACTGAGTTCTTCAAATTCATGTGAACATTACAAATGCATTGTAGGGCAAATTTGAATTGATACACAGACCACAAAAAGTCTTGAAATGTCCTTCACTCACCCTCGTTGCTAGGTTGCACAGTGCCCTCGTTAGTTCACAATCAGATTTACATGTACAACATACATGTACCAGTACAGTATCAATGACGTTGTCACTGTCTATTTTTCATTCACACACACACAAGCATGTACTTGTGAAAGCTTCATTAAGCATTTAGTACAGCCACGAACCCACCTGGGTTCCGGCGATTTAATTCTACCCTTGCTCAGATATGTAAATCGCACTAGTCATTACCAACATACGATGGTCAGAGATTATCAAAAGATCTGTTTGCTGCAGAACTGGCTTTATTTTAATGGATAGTTTGTGTTGAATAGGTCCAAACAATGGTACATGTATATTTCCATAGGCTTTGCAGGGGGATTCTGTTTTCTCGTTTGATTTGTACGTTCGATAATTTGACTGTACAGAAAAACAAGTACAATCTACCGGTATCTGCTAATAACCTTGAAAAGTGTCTAGTTTAAATGTGCAGCATTCTGCAAAGCCATGACGTTTCTTTTGGGGGAATTCAAACGGGAGAAAATACTTCAAGAGAAGTAGCCATGCTTTACGACACAAAACCAATTGGAAGTTGTGTACAATGTACATGTACATTAACATGACTCAATCAACTCTCCGTTCACATTTAATTCATGAAAAATTCATTTGTTTGTGTGCTCAGCTTCCAAAAAGTTGTCCAGGCGACACGCATCGTCATTGAGCAATTCAATGGAACCGTTTCTTTCATACGAGACTTAATGCCATTCAAAAATTCATGTACTGGATTTGTTCAGTTGGATGTATTTATAGCTTGTCTGCTGGGCCCCTCCAAGAAAGATTTTCTGTTTATCATCAGTGTATGCTTCAATATGTTTATTTTGCATTTTCAAAGGATCAAACTGCTAATTTGTATAAAAGCAAACATCTTGACATCCAGCTAATTTTTCACTAAGTAGGATTCTGCATTTTTCCTTTCCAAAACAGAGCTCGCCAAATTTCAGAATGTGAAATTCATGCTGTAGGTGTCTTTTCTACCAAAATGTAAGCGGACCAGATATGTTGAACATTTTTTAACTCATGGCATTTGAAGTTCAAGGTCGCCAGCGGAGAATGAGCAATTTTTGCAGCTTGCATGCACACCAGGTAGACTGTCCTTTAAACAGCCATCCTGCTAACAAATTGCCGTAGCAAGCAGTGTTCACCAGCCTAAAAGGATTGATCCAGGGTCAGTGCTATGCTATATGAGATCAGTCATTACTATATATATGTACATGTACATAGTAACTCTCAAGCTGACATAATTAATGCCAAATGGAGAGTGAGACTGCCAGAAGAGCTTCAAAAACCTGAGTCATATATTTTTCTAGCAGGTCTGACATGTAACTGCACATTTTGGTGAAAACTACCCTAAAAAATTTGGCATGCCCTTTGATCCTGTTGTTATTATGAAAGCTAGCTTTTCGGTTTTTCATTCACTATATACTTCAAGCCGGCTTGCTGGCTGGAACATTCACCTTGGAGATCATTTAGACATTATTCGGGAGGTTATGCAGACCTGTACATATTGGTTGTGTAGGTTGTATAGTGTGTTTATAATTTGGCTAGACAGACCACCGTCTTTGAAACTTGACCATGACATCATGCTTGTCTTCTTCCTTACCGTATCAAGGGACTTTGTTTGATGAGATTGCTGCCAGAGTCACCTGTGTTTCTGTCCTCTGTAACTTGATTTCAGGGACTGCATTGATCAATAATTTCACATATCTTAAAACGTAGACTGGAATTTTTTTTTCACATGACGAGCCAGGAACGACCGGAGAGATGGATTTCCGATTTGGGTTACAGATGACAGACATGGGGTCTGGTTTTTAATCAATAAGTTTGGAGGCAGACGAGCAGAGGGAAAAAAGTCTAAACCATGAAGGAACGTTGGACTATTTTATGATAGCACAGCACTCTTCCTATCTTACTCCTTTTGTGTCTTTGGTTTGATACTAGTTCAATAAAATTGGAAGGTTACAGGGGCAGATCTGGAAGTTGTCGGGGGGGTGGGGGTGCTCAGGCTTGTCAGATTTTTTGCATGTTCAGTTGTTGCAGACAGCTGGACACATAATAGGATTTATCATCTCTTTTTGTATTACCATAATTTTTGTTTCATTTTTCTAATTATTACCGTTTTTTGGGGGTGTCGGGGGAGTCTGGGAGGGGTCCCCCAGATTTGCACCTGAGTAACATGCTGATGAAGTTTCAAGTGTTTAATGCAGGGTATTGTAAAATACTGGTATTTTACCCCTATTTTTTTTACTGACTGCACATGACAAGGTGTTCCTTCACTGTACTTTGGTAAAATTACAAACAACAGATATTGGCCAAATGTGGTTAAAGCTTTCCAGATACACCGTTAAGAAAGCAAATTAGAAGTTTCTGCTAGGTTTTCAGATGTCTTTAGTACCTGTTCATAGTAAGATCTTCTAGGCAGATGCATAGTACATTTATGTCTTTGTAAGCCTCACTCGTGAATTGCTCCGTTAAAAACGGATCTTTGTCATAATTCGCCTCTTTAGCGAGGCAATACATGTACATGTAAAAATAAATTGGCTTATTTTTCATGCTTGCTCGCTCAGGGAAAAGAACTTTGAAACTGCCAAGCATGCCACAACAGTACGTACCAGAAATACATCGTGCACCGTCATGAAAATTCATGGCGTTGGATGCTGTAGAGGTGGTTGTACTTGCAAGGTATTAGTACATCGTATTTGAGCTGATCTGCTCTGTAGATATTACAGCTATACATGACACAAACACGGGTATTTACAGTGTTCCCCTGATTTTTTTTATTTGTCGGATCTGTTGTGAGTATATCATGTAAACTCCTTACAGATTTACTACCATTAACTTTCTAATGACATTTTTTAAACAGATGAAAATTAGCCAAATTTTGCACCTACAATAACGTTACATCGGCAGGTCTTTAACCATTGTGTCCAAAATGATTTATTTGGTCTTAATTATCTGTAAAAACTCAAAACATTGCATTCTGCCATGTGGAGTAAAGCCGATTAATAACAACCCTAATAGTTTCACTTTTGTAATCCTCTCCAACAAATCACGCCTACTGGTACATTGTAGGTACTGAGCTGACAATCACATACATGTACATGCAGGTCTACAGATCTTGCAATGTCTGCTGTATGGTCCATCCAATTACTATCTAAAGTGCCCCAACTGCTCTTAAAATTGCCCGTCAAAGCTGACAATTGAATCCACGAAGCTTCATCTCCTGGTACATGTACCGTACATGTACATGCACCTGATGTGTGTATGTAGGAGAGGGTATAATGAGTAGGCCGTGGGAGTTATCGCAGACTGGGGGTGAGAAAGGGCATCGGAGTAGGTTCAGCACTTGTAGAGTTTTTGCCCAGGGGGTGGATGGAAGGTGTTGACGAACTGGAAGAGTGTGAAGAAGAGCAAGCGTGTGAATTAATTAGATTGGGGGAAAACAGCTCGAAGAGGACGAAGCAGGGTGAAGGAAAATGTTGGACGGGGAGATTTCTTATCTTTGAAAGTCATATAGCGGTATACTGTGTCTTGCACTTCTGAGGGGATTTGGAAGAGGCAAGTGTATTTCAATTATGGTTCAATCATGGTCAGTATTGCATCACAGACAATATGAGGCAAGTTGATCAATGTGGGCTGTGGAGCAGAACAAAATTGAAATGCATTTGACATATTTGGAGAACACTTTATCAAATTGAGGAACAAGTTGTTGGGCTGGTTTTGAATACTGAAGGTACGTGTATTTTTGTACCTGTACCAGCTAGGAAATTATGATACAATTGTACATCAATATATTACCTGTATACAGTGTAGATGTACAGAAGCTTAGCTGCATTAGAATCAGCTGTGTTGTGGCTGTGGCTGCTTGTTTCCACACTGAAATGTTACAGTAATAAGCCGTAGACTATAGAAAAAATGGCTATCAAGCTTCCTGCTTACTTGTGTAAAATTTACATGCAGTAAACAAATGAGATGGTTGAAAAATCATATTAAGCCATATGGTAGGAAAATTACAACTGTGCGTGTGACATCACCACATGTGCTTGCAGTGTGTAAACTGTTCTAAACACATGTTGCGTAAAATTTCTTCAATTTACAGCACAACTGATGCGTGTCACAGACATTTGATGCATGTGACAATCGGTAGGAACTGAGGTCTTTGGAGAGAGACTCATATAGTTGTGGATCCGTCAAAATTTTATAAAAGCAAGAATCAGATGATGACAGATTTTATAAGGGTCAAATAAAGTCTTCTTTCCTAAATTTGAAGTATTTGATCAGGGGATTTTTCTTTTGATGAAGGTTTGAAACAAATATAAAAACACCATCAGTTTATTCAGAGGGAAGACATTATGCAGCATAAGGACGCAGGCTGTAGCTGATCCAAATACAGTAGACTGACATTTTGTAACGTGTTCAGCAGAGGATGATTCCAAGCAATCAATAGAATTATAGCAGCTCATGGTTTCAAGCATTGAAGTGACACGATGATCTCCAGTTCAATTCAATTTTCAGTTTGCCTGCGGTACAAGGCACAAGAAATGCGCCCACAGCCCGCGTCCAGTGTAGAGTTACAGCGGGAAATGTAACACTGCCCCAGAAAAATCAATTTAAAGTTGTTCTCAGATTTTTTTTTTTCCATGGGGGATGGGCGGAGAGTAGGCTTTCTGCTATTTTCGTTACGTCGGAATCTTTTCTTGTTCTTCCCAGGTGACCCATGCCCCGGAGCTAGAAGCCACATTCAGCGCGTCCAGGGACAAGACGATACGCATGTGGAAGCGGGGCACAACGGATGGCGGCACCGTGGAACCGTATAATTGCAAGCAGACGTTCATGGGGCACGAGCTGGTCGTCACAGGCATCGCTTTTGGTTGGTTAAAAAAAGGGGAGAAGGGGGAATTGGGAGAAAGAGAGAAGAAAAATTTTAAAAGACAGCATTGGATTTCATCGACTGTATGCATTTGAAAGGTGGATAACTGCAGGATTATGCAGGACTACGTTTGCTTTTAGGGAAATTGGCCAAACTATCCATGTGGCATTACAGTTGAACCCCCCCCCCATCATGACTTGCTTAGGTTCAGTAATATGGATTGGGTGAAGTGGAAACCAGGCTTTAAAGAGACGTTACTGTTTCACTAGTCCAATTCAGGTCAGATGTCAGAAACATTCTTCCCGAGAAAACAAAATGGCTGTGCATTGCTGTGGATTTCATGCAGAATTCATGACTCAAGTCCAGGACTCAGACTTTGTCAGGTTTTTTAGAAATCCAGATCTGGTAATAACTCAAGTCAGGTCAGCAAGTTGGCACCGAAAGCTCTTGACTTGTCAGCTACCTGTACCTGTTCTTTTTTTAATACACTACAACTTGGGTCGTTTAAATGGACACTGCAAGTAATGCAACATTTAGCAACAGTGTTACCTGCAGTAGGGCACGCACATGTACAGTGTGTGAAGCATATTCTGCTATGTGTATGTACATGTAATATGGTTTGGTGTGAACAAGTTACCTTCCAGGTTTCAACGGGTATGCGGGAACACAAGAACAAGCCATATAAACAAAAAAAGGAGGAAATGGGTTGAAAATTATCATTTGCTTAAAAACACCTCAGAATTACCCCTTTTGCTCTGTTGATGGTGTGACAGTTTGCGGCTGCGTATCCCCTCCCCCAACAAAAACCTGGCAACGCCTATGCAAGATGATTGAGGACTCGGACGGAAACCATGTGAATGGTGACATATTCCAAAGACGAATTTTCATGTTTCTATCCGTTCCATAATAGTTTATATCTGTAAATTAGGGAATTTGGCAGGGTCAAAGACATTGAGGGAGAAGGAAATTTCATTCAGATAAAGTGCAGTTCTGAGTGACCGCACAGATGCTATTGTAGATAACCGGTCGGCTCACAGACTGGGATCCCGTACCTTGATAGGCTTTGCACCCCACAGGGGCCCCTGAGATTAAATATCACTCATTGTTTTTGCTGGCCAGTTGCACCTTGAATCACCCCTCAGTCGTACAATTCAATCCGACGTTGATCAAGTTTGTACAATTCAATCGGACATTAATCATGTTTAAAGGAAATTGCGCTTGATAAGTTGTTTTGATTTTTTTTTTCCCATGCAATTTATTTTGGTTGAAATTGCATAGAGAACTTGTTTTTATTAGGACAGTGCATCTGTTCCTGTCACTCCAAATCATTGTTCTAATATGTAATTAACAATGATTGAAAATTTAATTTAAATCTGTGATACAAATGTAAAGTGTCATGCAGCCACCAGTCAGACAATGAGAACATGACTTTGTTGCTGATGAGGCCCATAAGTTTTGTAATTGGTTTTTTAGAAATCACTAGGGTTGGCCTTGCAGTCCTTGCCTAATTTTTCAAATTGAGAAATGTCTCTAAATTCCAATTTTGGATACTGTTTCTGTATAAATCGATTTGTCAAAAGCGTGATAGTAATGTAGAACTTTGGAGGTTTTGGTTTTCAGAAAATTGAGGGAGCTTTGAAGTGAAAAATTCCTGGAAAATATCAACCCTAACAGTCCCAAATCCTTCAAATTCAATATGATTTTACATACACCCTAGGGGTTAAGGGTTAGGTTCTCTAACTTGAAAAGTGTGCATGACATACATGTAGAAATAACTGGGTTGTTTTAAGATGTACATTAAGTTGCTTGATTACCCTAAATCAGTACCATGGAAATGTCATTTTGTACCAACCCAGCAAAATGTATCATCCAATTCTGAATAGGTCATCTGATCTGAAAAACCTCTCTGTGATTTGACACACATTGGTCCTTACGGCCTTGTAAGAAGTGTCCGTTTGTTTGTTGTGGCCTCCGTTCTTCATTTTGGTCTGGTGATGCCAACATGTTGACAGGAAATGGAAAGCTGTTCTCGGGTTCCCGTGACAACTCGGTGCGGCAGTGGGACGTGAGCACGGGCCAGTGCATCAACCAGAGCATCATCCCCAGGAACCTGGTTACCCACATCAAGTGGGTTCCGGGCGAGAGCATGGTAGCGCAGACCAGCGAGGATAAGTGCTTGAGGTAGGCTGTGTGTATGTGACCTAACAAACAACATTAAAAGGTGCTTGTATTTCCCAAATCCTCAGTAATACATGTACCGGTATACAGCTTGCATTTTACCCAGTGAGAAGGCATTCAGACTCCATCATTGCCTAATCTATGCAAATGTTATTATTTTATTAAATCTTTTTGTTCTCCAGAGGCGTCTGGCCATCGTTTGGACACAAACGTTGCATTTGTTTTTGTTACACAAAGATAAATGCATTAAAAGCTTTGATTTGTGCTGATCAGGATCACGATCAGTGATCCGACGTGAGTTCACTGACATCAGAACCTGTGCAATGGATAGAGTGAACCAGCTTTGGGATCACTAATCAATATCCAGATCTACATGTAACAAACAAGCCCTTAGCAACTTGGACACCATGCTGTTCACATCAAGGCATATGTTTGACACCACATTTTAATGCTCGCTAAAACCCAGCATGTGAGAAGCAGGAGCAATTCATGTCACTAAACATCCACCTTCCAGGACAGTTTTTTCAATTTCCCTGACGATGCCTGTCGTACCTTAGTGTACCATACATGATTTACAAGTGGCACCGAACAACAGAAATGCATTTCATTTATGTTTTGTAACCTCATAAATAAACTCATTATGGCAATCAAACGCATAAGACAAAACTTATAAGAGGAACCATGCACTCAGGAAAAAAAAGAATTGCCCAGTCCTTGTACACAAAGAAAGAAATAGTAGGTATGCGTGTTTTAACCCTTTCTCGTTATATGCTGTTATGAGTGGCTTTCCTGATTTGCTGATCTCTTGGTGGCACATTATGTAAATTGTCCCTATCAAAACTATCAAACTCAGTTCGGCTGTCCTGCATTATTTTGTCATTGTCCATTTAGTTATCAGCAATGGAAATGAGTGTGTATCATACACTTTATACAAGCCTCGACAAACTTCGTTTGTTTCCCACTTGATCTAATTTTCACAATTGGCTTTGCTATCTTGAAAGGGATACTTTTGAGCCAAAGCGTGATGTCATTCCAGCAAGAAAACGTTAATGTTACATTGATTTGTGTTCAAATAAAGGCTAGAATTTTTATGTTTTGCTGGCCTGAATTTGTCCGTTTTTCTGTGTTTTTCCTTTTGCTTTGCCAACATGAATTCCTTCTCAGAAAAGATTTCAGTGAGCAAGTTTCAGGTATACAATAGATTGACTGCACCAGCTAAGTCAGGTGACCTAGAGTGGGCATCAAACATCAACAAACATGGCATACTTCCATAGCAAAATGTGTCATACCGGTAAGTGTTGTTTTACCAAAAATAAAGCCAATTTTTAGTAAGTGCTCAGCACATCAGTAGTGTGAGTACTTTTCAGACCATCGGCTTTATTTCTGGTAAATGACATTTATGACACACATGGGAGAACACTATGTTTGCTGAGGTCACGTAACTTAGCAGGCGCAATCGGTCTATTTGAAGAGAAAAACCTACCTGTAAGAGCACCCTTGGTTGCCCCCAAAAAGCATGGACAATTTTTAAATTTGAACTAACCCCAAAAGCCTGTCAAATACCTGTACATGTAAATTTCATATGTACATGTAGTAGAAAAGTATAAGTTGTACAAGAAGCATGTTTAAGAAAGTTTGATCACTAAAATACTTCAGAAGTATGCATCCACGTGTAGGCACAGCTGTGCCAAGAATTTTAATGGTATGGTCATGCACATTACAGGAATTGTTGGTTGTGTGGCGTGGTTCAGTTCACTTTTAATTGATGCACAATATACTGTACATGCATGTACATTAAGGTGTAGGCTTGAGCATGTCATTGAGAGTGAGGCAGGTGGCACAGCTGGTATCTTGCAGTTTGGCCAGCCGAGAGCCAGAGACAAAAATCGCCATCGAACCAAAGCCAACTATCTTGCTGCTCACAAGATGCGCACACACCCTGGTTAGGGTAGATTCGCGTGTATGTATCCAATCATACGAGACCCTCACTGCTGTCTGACTGTTTGAGCAGCAGTTGATTTATTACCGAGTTTAGACACGCGCGGGATTTCCTCACTTATCAACGAGACGTTGTGCAAACATTTGGCGGGATGGCGACGGATCCGTGCAAGGCCGCAAGCAATTTGCTGCAGATCTGCCTCGTGTTCAAAGAGAATTTTAATTTTGAAGAAAGTATAAAAATGCATTAGGTTTTGTTGTCTGGGGCCGTGTAGGGACAGATCAACGTTGTTAACCCTAACCCCCTAGGGTGTGTGCAAAATCATATTAAAATTGGAGGATTCAGGACTGTTAGGGTTAATTATGAAGATATTTGTAATATGCACGTATCTACTGGTCCTAAGCTTGAGGCATTGTATATCATCAATATCAATGTTCACTGTGATCAGAAACATTCTTAAAACCATCTCAACTCCCCTGGAGTATTCAACTTGAATGCAGGCATTCAGACACAATAACCCTTTCTGCTCTCATAGGTAGCCATTTTCCGTCTTAGGGAGAGAGGCAAGTGAAGTGCAAGAAGGGTATCCTTAGTGTGGTTTGAACCCCTTGGCCCTATGATTGAGAGTTACAAACTCTAGCCATGAAGCCACGTTGCCTGCCACTCAAAAGAGTAACTAAAACTCGTGTACTACATGAAGTTCCAGGAAAACGGATGATCATTTGCTGTGGAAGTGCTGAAATTTTCCACTCTACAAAATCTTGAAATCTTGTCACCTGTGGGCATGATGCTTTTAGAAGTTATTTTTTGTACACTGTTTAATGTGTATCATATAGTAGATTTCTGACAAGTGAAAATAGCTGGGAAAAGTGACTTGCTGTGGGGGGGCTATACTGTCATTTAAAAAAATTAGTTCTCTTTTAAAAAGTGTTGTAATTTACTTGCATGTATTTTGTGCATGACTGCTAAAAGAGAAAAACATACATGTAGTTGTATTCAGTGCTCAGTATCATACATTGTAACTAGGGAGAAGGTTGCCACATGGGTGCACCCCCCATGTGTGTGCGTGTACCCGTGGGTGCCCCTTCAGAACATTCACCCAATTGGTACTGGTTTACGTCTTACTGCTTGTGTTCTTAGGATGAATGTTTCATATTATTTCACAGAATATGGGACACCAGGACATTAACCGAGGCCCACGTGTTTCCCAAGAAACAGTACATCCAGACGTGCTGCGATGTCAGCTCTGATGGCAACTACTGTCTGACCTCCAGCAATGGTGTGGGAGGCCGAGGGTGCGAAGCAACGGTGAGTGTTGCTTAACCACTTCGTGCCAGGGCATTTTTCAATGTTGATGATGCTGGGCCGGCATGACTATCATTTTTACCGTTTTCAAAATCCTTAAAAAATTCATTTCATTTAACAGTCGTTTATAGCCGCACGAAGTAATCTTCAGGCACTACTGTAAGTTGATAGGTGACCTTCATTGACGCCCGAGTATTTCAGCCAAGCCTGCAGCCTTGTAAGCAGAGCCCAGATTGTGCGGTGCTACATAAATGTCTTTTGTTCACAAACCTGGCTCAGTGCACTGCTGACCTCTTTTCAATAGGGGCCAGATTAGCGTGCAGCAGTACTGTGTGGCTCATCGCAGCGTTGTCCCCGGTGGTAATCCGCTTGCTCTCAATGCCCCAAACCCTGGTATAGGGTTTCAAAACAAGGCTGGATTATCACCATTTTTGAGAGTGAAAAATGCCGGTAATGCCCAGCAGCCTGGTCTTTTGTTCGGAGTGTGGTCTTTTGTTACAGGGCCCTGTTTCCTTTGTCCGAGTTCGGAGACCCCGGCCACCATATAAACCATACGTCTCCGATCCCGGAGTCCCCGGCAGGAAGTGGTTAAGGCCATGACCCCAGGTGCCAGGTGCCCTTTGGTTGTTTAATAACAAAGTCTCATGTCCCTCATCATGCGAAGTCTACATTTGTTAATAGTGCAGTGTGCTCCTCCCGGCCATGAACCAGTGAACACTGGTAACATGCCCTGGCTTGGCTGTCATGAGTGGGTCATGATAAGGCGCCTTCTACAACTCTCACAGACCCAATAGCAATGTGAATTGTAGGTCATAAAATGGTAATAATCTTGCGGCATTTTTTTTTAGTGAATAATTTGTGCATAGCGGTCATTGGGTGCTCAGTACTGTCAGAGATGAGTGCTTTTGGGTGTAGGATGTCAACTATTAAAGAGACCTAAAATGTAATGATGGCGTGCTGTGTTTACATGTGTGCTTTTCTATGGAAGTGAGGTGGGATGCGATCCATTGAGTCCTCAGGAAAGTGCATGTGTAAACAGTGCGACGTTATTATCGGTCCATTCCTGTGGGCAAGGTTGGGCACAAACCATACACACATGTATAGTTTGACCACCGCTGAACTGCTTTTTAGTAACATGCACAAGGCACTCGAATGACCCTAGTCAATCTACACGTATTTTGTAAAATTGCCTCATCGCCCACTTTCTTCATTGGTTCAGGCATGCACCGGCATTCGTGATTGATGACATCTTGTACACTTGTTTTCATGGGAATGGTTCCGTCTGTGCTCATAAATGAAAGTGGTTATTGACAAGAAGCAGCCAACCAAGCCCCAGAGATTGGTACTTAATTAATGGTCAACTATATAATGCAACCATCCATCATTCAAGTGGCATTTGTTGAACTGTGATTAACTGAAGTTGTCGCTTGAACTTTCTCTCGAGAACTTTGAGCAAAATACCCCCTCATTGTCAACCAAAAAAAAGGTGGGAGCCGACACCTGGACACCATTTTCACCGTGTGTCCTGAAATTATGCAAAGAACCCAAAATTCTGTGCACTTAAGATGAAAATTGCAGATTGTGTATTGTGCTGTATGCTTGTTCACTACAAACACAGACAGTCAGTCAGCGTCAAGGGAATACATCGCTTTACAGAACGCACAGTGCAGAGTAGACCAAAACTGTTGATGAATTTGCCATTTTTCTAATCTCCCTATCTGTCTGGCTTTTTGTCATCCCACAGTTATGGGACCTGCGTGCCCACTCCCTGGTAGCCGAGTACCACGGTCACCAGCAGACCACTGGGGGCTGTTGCTTCATCCCCAGCGTGTACTCCAAGGAGCTCATCGCTACGTGTTCCAATGATGCTACGGTCAGAGTGTGGGACAGAATTTCATGTGGTGAGTTTTGCTTTGTGATTGACCTCACTGCCATGAGGTCATCTTATCCAGAATTCCCAATTGCAAATGGGCACAAATTTTGCTGCACATTCCGATGAAAATGAACAATTTTCACTCCACATCGTATGCAAATGAATCAGTGCACTCACACAGTAGTGTTCCAACCTTAGGGATATCATTGCTAGGTATTACAGGGCCGTCTCATTTTTACGTAGGAAAACTTGGAACTTGTGTAACTGTTTCATCAAATGTGCTGTAAAATGCATTACAGTGGTAAAAAAGGTTGATTTCACAAGGTTTACTTTACATCGTCATAGCGGCATGGAACTAATATGCAACAGCTGTTATAATCCCTTGTACACAGAATGTTTCGTTTTATTACTTCACAAACCCTAAGACAAGTTATTGTCTACCTTCTTTGGTCGCGAAAAGACATTTGTGCGCAACGGTAGATTTCCCCTGACTACAGAACTGGCGGGGTCTTTTAGTAGTTCTTGGCTGCATACCCATGTGCTACTCTCAATACTTGCTCGCGAGGGAAAATGTTGACTATTCATTACTCGACATCATGAGCAACTCAAGAGTTACCTATCCTTGAAATAACCATTTGCTGCAAGATTCTTCTGTCATGTAAGAGTATTTACCCACAGTTTGTACATGCATTCCTGCCATTCATGCACTCAGGAGTACACGTGTACAGGCGTGGCATACATAGCGTGGACCTCTGCACAAAAGAAGTCCACATAATGCAGGGGACGATGGCGTTGTGTGGACTTGCACATGTCCACACAAGGTTTCCCCCTCTCTGGAAAAGGAGTTTAGAGGCATTTTGGGGTTGGGGTCATCTGTGGTAAAAGGAAAAGGAATAGTCAAGGAAACCTTGTACAAAAAAGCCAGCTGAAAATTGTGTTCCTGGTTGAAGAAAAACGAGTATTTTCACTGAGTTTTCTTAACTGCACGAAAACAAAGGAATGTCCACGGTAGGTATGTAACGTAAACATATGAGTGTTAAACATGAGCAATCTATTCAAACACAACCCTAATGACACTCTGCCCATGCATTTGCTCTGCCACATGGTACCAGTCTGTGTTAGACGTAGCTGTGTCTTTATCTTGTGCTTGGAGCTGAGGCTAGGTCTTTTCCAGTTGTAAAGACATAGGCATATGCCAACAGGAGACATAGCTATGGCTCTGGAAACCCATTTTAGGCTTTGTCTACAGCTGCCATTACCAACTATGAGTCGTTGTCCAAGGGAGCCATGAGTGACAGTTAGCACATTGAGTTTCTGCATAACTCCATAATGCTTATGTGAGTCTTTCTGTCTTTCACATAAAGCATGCATAACTGCATTGAATATAGCCGGGTTTGGATCCCTCACATCTATAGCAGCAAACGTAGACAAGAGGTAAGTACATGCGAGTTGTATTTAAGGTTTTAAATTAGTGAACTTTGAAATCTTACAACCAAAGGTCTGATTAAAATTTTGGCAGATATGAGACGTCAGAAAAGAGCCCATGGAAAGTTTATTTTTTCCTTAAAACCCACCAGGCTTTCTGAAAGCCACCTGTTCAGTGTAGCGAAATGAGAATTCTGAATAAGTTCAAATGACAACTACAATTCGACTATTTTGCACTAACGGTGGATAGTTCAGACCGTCAAGGCGGCCACTTGGAAACAATAGTTACACTGGTTATCAATAACCAATATAATTTACGAATATGGAGGGAACCATTCACATGAAAATAATTTGACAAGATGTTATTGACCCTATGCATCATGAAAGTTGCAGCCAACAGCAAAATGTGAGTCATAAAATTTTACAAATGGTCCAACTGTGGATTATTGAGTGTGGTTGTAGTGTGCGTGTGGACTATGAAAAAGCAGTCGACTGGTGGTCGAACGACACTTGCCATAGCTGCAAGTGCTCAAAAGAGCACAGACTGTAAATTGAAAACAAATTATGATTTCTTGGCAACCCCTTTTCTCCCAGTATTTGTGTAGGCAGCACTACCCCTGGGGTGCATATAGGGAACCTACTAGAGGAACCGGAGGGCACGTTCCACTTCATTTATGCCGCTCAGTACTGATTTGACTCACCGTGGGAACCAGTCAGGGTGCCGGGATGCCGACTGTGTTTGAAGTACTGTTGATGTTACCCTTGCTGTCTGTTGTTACAAGTCGGGATGCCAGCTGAGATGACTAGTCTGGTTGCCCAGTTCCTCAGCACTCTGATTGAGCGTGTTAGAGTAGTTTCCTTAGGCTGACTGGAGTCAGACTCTAGTCCAAGTAACTGAGAAGTCATTCTCAGTCGCCAAACTAGGGTAAATTTCTAGAAGGGGGCCACTCTCGTTGTGCACATATTTTTTTTCAGGGTGCCATAACTATGGTTTGTACATAGGCTGTGTACATTATAAACTTTGAAATGGTGGGGGGGGACTCTGATCTAAGATCAGGGTTGACAGTGACAGTAGGAGGTGACCGTGTCTTAGACGTGCATAGTTTATTTGCAGGAATAGGCATTACAGTAGACAGCATGATGGAAAAAACAAAATTCTCAACGTGACCCAAAGAAGTTTATATTCCGCTTGATTTGACCAAATTCAAAGTCAAATTTTTATGAAACCATCAAAGAAAACAAGCCATTCTAGTCACTCTTCATATCATTGTGATGGAAAAAAGATGAAAAAGGAAGAATACAGGGAAGTATACAGTCTGAAAGTTCAAAGTCCTGCAACTGGTTCACATATGATGAACTTGTTTGATGACTCTTGTGGCTTTATCGACCTGCCTTCATTCAAGTCATCCTGGAAAGCTAGCTGGAAGCATCCGTCATGATGTTGGGTTAGTACAATGTACTTGCTCTCATTAGCTACTACTGAAACCTTTCTGACGAAGGCACAGATGTGCAGTTCACTTGATGTTAGGCACTGCAATACACATTATTGTCAGTCCGTGAAGGATTATCCAAAATGTCAGAATGATTTGGACCCATGTGATGGTCTGATTTGTGATTTCCAGGCCATCTGTTGTGTTAGGCTGTGTCCAGTAGTCGTGGCTATGGCTTGAAATGATAGATACATCCATGGGTGCTACTGGCTAGCAATGCAACCGCTTCCCGTGTGTTGCTCCTGGCTGCGGCTAGTTGATCAAACCATGACCTCAGCACTTTTAAAATGGTGCCCATTTTGATACCCTAGACATCATACATGCACCATTTAGAAGCATGTCAAATTTGGGTCTCTTTCTAAGAGCGTTATAAGTTTCCAACTTCTGCTTGACAAGCAACAAAAAAGTGAAACTAGACAGAGACAACTAACAGCTTTGGTAAGTCATCTTATTTTTGCAAAGCAAAGGTTTTCAAGCTTGGCAAACCTCTTTTTTGGTATATTCCTAAAATTCATCCCCTGGGGAGAAGTGTCCCCTCCCCTGCTTTGGGCTCAGCTGGCTGAGAGCTATTAAGATTCCATGCTGTTTAGATACAAGCAATTGATAAGGACATATGCTTTTGTAGTAAACAGGGTTGTAGTGTGGATAGACGGATAGCCATGTCATGAATTGATATTTTGCCCTTTGTTTTAGTTCACAGATGGTCCTTGACCTTCATGCCCTAAAAGTGCCGTCAAATTTTGGGTTTGCAAAACAGACATTTTTACATCAGACAGTCACTAAGCTAGTTGGGTATTCCAACAGCGCATGCCCACAAGTGTGCTGAAGGTCATTGGGAACAGCAAATGTGTGAAGACAGCCCTGTCACCATGGCTGTATGTCGACTGGCATGTGCTGAATATGACCGGCCTTACATGCATCGTTATCAAATGGTCTTGCCTGTTTGAAATGTTACACTGTTTCATTGTTACCTACTCACAAAGGTGACCTTCAAGGTGACCAGTGATCTTCTGTTTTTGTTTGTTTTTTTGGTCGGGGGTGTTTTTAAGGGTCCATTCGATGAATTTTTTAGAAACACTTGTGCAACTTTGCACTCTTCTATGTATGAAACCTTTTGGACATTACTTTGAGGTAAATTGTGTTGAAAAGTGCACTTTTTGTGACAGTTGAAATTGTCCATGCTTTTCCAGACAGCAGAGGGCGCTGTCAGTCGGGGAAGGCACTGTTCATTTCATAGGCATTCCATTCAAAGCTGTGAAACCAAAATTTGCTAGTTAGAAACATCACTGAAAAAGGGTCATTCAGTTTGACATAGTTTTGCTCAGAGATATGGAAATACTCGTTTGCATAAAAACCAAAAAGGCAGCAGGTTGGCCCTTTAAAATAGAATTACAAGGTTGAGTCACAGAGGGACATCTTCAAGGGTTATTCAAAAGTTTGCATTGCAAAGCCCCATCAATTCTGGTACACGTACTTTGAAGTTGGTGCGGAGCTGGGTTTTGTTATTAGGTCATGTCATAGCATTTTCAATAGAGGGGGCTTTCTAATAATCCTTTACACTCATTCCACAACATTGAAAGACGACACAACTTTAACTCACTTTGCCCATTGTTTTCAGAATCTTGGAAGATTCTGTTTCTTTTCTTTCTGTTTTTTAAATTTTTGAGTTAACTGTCGCTAGTTCTGTTTGGTTTAACATTTCAATGCACTTTATGTATTCAACAGATTATTTTAGTGCACAAAGTGAATCCTAGAGCATGTTTTGTTCCTCGGCTTTTTAGTTTTTTGTTTGTTTTTTTCATTCTATTTTCCTTTTAGAAATCTACTTATTTACATTTAAGTCACTGAAAAACAATGTTTAACAGACACTTCAGTTTAACTGTATTTTGTCTTTGATGAATCTAGTTTTAAATTCCAATGACTTATAAAATGCACATTACCAGTAAGTAATTACTGTTGGGAGATGGGTATTTTATTTAGTTATTTATTTTTATTTTAAGGTGTGCCTAAAGGAAGAAGTTCAACTACATGTAAATTAGGCATATCTTCCAAACATTTATGCAGAATTTCACCATGTTCTTGCTGTTCATGCTCCAGGGGGAGAGTTTAATATTAAGAATATTGATTACACTGTCTGCGTTATCACAGAAAGATGAGCTTGGTGTGGTGAGGAATGTAAAATCAATCACTTCATGGAAACTGTCAAAATATTTGAGGGGGAACATCCAGCTTTGAATTGATTGTACAGAGGGCGGTGCAACAGTATATGTTGGTATCACTGATCATAAATGGGTCATTCCATGAGGTTGGAGCACAGTTTGTGACGGTGTCAATAGTTACATCTGCAACTTTTACCACCTGTCATGACCTGTAGAGAAGGTCATCTACTCTGTAAAAATGACACACAACTCTGTATTCGGCCCTGCAAGATGTATAACATTGTCAGTTTGGAATTCACATGCAGGGAAGTGGCTGTTCACTTTTTACGGAACCCATGTAACAACGGATGCTGTCAGAGACTGTGCCCCAACCCCATGGAATGACCCCAATGCTTGTACCAGGTGCAGAACGGCTCCTTACAGTATTCATCATTCATAATATCCATCCACTTCACGACAGGCCCCCCTCCCCCAAACCTGTTTACATTGCCTGGAAGTGTTCCTTCACCTGCAAAGCAAGGACAAAGCGTGAGCATGGGGATATACCAGTGAAGTGAATGGTGCACGCGCGAAGCAAAGATGGCACACCATCTGCAGAAACTGGTCAAGCATGCTCAGTATGTCCAGTGCCAAGTGCACACAAACCTGTGGATCCACGCAATGCTTTTCCACCAAAGGGTCGCTGTACACATAGATTAAAGGTGCCCACACTTGCCACTAAGGTCAACAGTGTCACCAATGACAGGGAAACATCCTTTTGTTCCATGTGTTTTCAGTCCTCTATAGTACAAGTAAAAGATGTACATCCATCCTGCACTAATAACAGTCTGTCGCAATAGTTCAATTGCCTTAAGTTTTCATGAAGATTTATTTAAATCCTACCGTAAATTCATTTCAAACACTATCATGTCACCAGCTGAGTATTTTGTGCAAATACCATTTGTGAAATTTATTTATATTGAAATGTATGCATTGATAATAATGTTGCAAATTAATAAAATAATCATTACTTTCAACTTTGTCAGAGTGCACAGTGGTATGTAACTGATTGAAACGACGTCATTTAGAATTACTGCACATGGAGGCACAGTTACAGGTCAATGACTTCTAAAGTTACGCCACAGTTTTATATTGACCAAGCACACCCTTCATATCAACATCGCCATCCTGTCTTGGTTCAAGGGCAGATGTACGGAAGTTTTAGAACAAGAGGCAGCACCTCCAGTGTGTCTGTGTTCCAAGAGCAAGAATGGCCTCAAAATCATGAAATCCTTGCTTGTCTACCTTAATCATCAATCATCAAATGGAGCCCATCCGGCATGTTGGCAGTTGAACCTACAGACTACATGTATTTTATATATTTTCAATTAATGCACACCTAAATATCAGTCTGACAGAGAAATGACTATTTTCGGGAGTCCTATTATTGTAACCGTTACTGCCTTAACCACTTGCCAATGCTATTATTTTCTGCCGATACTTTTGACTTCGGTAAACAGGCAGGATATTGCTGCAGACTTTCTATAGGCAGCAAAACGTACAGCCAAATGCCACCGAGACCGATTCCAAAGTCATCTGAACAGCACCTGTACGATCTTACTGCAATCTCAGATAGCGGACTGATGACTACCATGATGGGCCGTGCACAGAGGCCAAGTTCAACACACAATCTGCCTCCACAGGCTTCTCGAACTTTGTATGTTCAAAACATGGGGATTGGTGGTTTCCAATTATACATTTGAGGTGATTCAAAGCATGATTGACACTTCAACCAACTGTGCCTATGTGTACAGACAGCCAGCAGTGTTGCATTCGAGTCCATCCGAGTCACCGGTCATTCCAGAAGTCCAGTCACGAGGCCCTTCACAAGGCCAGCTGTAAGAAACAGCGAACAATGACAAAAGAATGCTTTTGTCACAGATCATTTGAATAGCTTGTGAATGGGCTTCAGACTGATGGACTCGTGATGGACTAACGGGGACTTTACAAGGACTTGTGGTGGACTCGAATACAACATTGATAACCAGATCACGTTCTTAAGTCCTAAGGCACGGAGTAATTCAATAATCCTACAACAGATTTGCATTACGTTGGATGTAACACAGCCACCATTACTTTACATGGAAAGCTGTGTACTGGATATGTTTGAGCGCAAATTGGATAATTGGAGGGATCAGGAAGCTTCAGAACGGAAATTTCAAGGAACTGGGAGTTCTGATTGTCCCAACAGATGCCGGTAAAGCCGCTGACGGAGCTTGACTGAGCCTTGTGTCATCTGTACTCGGTGAATGGTTTGATGCCGATCTCGCCGCAGAGCTCGGCCATCGGCTGCTCCCACCGCTTCTCAAAGTAGATGTTCAGCAGCAGCTTGGCCCTGGGTGCTGCCTGCACCACCCAGGGGATGTACAGGCTTGTCAACTTGCCAATGTGCCTGAGCGGCCAAAAACAACAACAGTGAAAGATATACATGTACACTGTGGGCCACTGATGGAGTCTAGTTGGCGAAGTGGTTCTTTCCTCACCGTTCGCCCCTGCGACCCGGGCTCAATTCCCTGTTCCTTCCACAGANTCAGTCCCCAACCTGATTCTGAGAGTTGTCGCCTAGAACTTCCTTTTTGTACTTCTTATAAATTGAAGTTGGCATCTTCGGTGTACACGTGCACATGCATCCAGAGTGAAACTCTCTCAAACTTCACAGCCTTCACCATGTTCTGACCATTCTGTTGATTAATTTGACGTAATCTGCTGTAAACAACCATTTCACAGCCGGATTAGGATTTGAAAATTTGGATTTGGAATCTGCCATATTCGGATAAAAATGGACTCCGACTTGGCTCGGACTTGTGGTTTTGACTTGGACAAAATGGACTTGACAACATCACTGAGTAAAGCGTGTACCTTCTTTTGACGCGCAGGGGTCCAAACATCGCCCCCAGGGCCGTCATGGGCAGCCTCGTGTTGATCATCTCAAACCACTTGACGGTCACCTCGCCCAGCATGGTGGCGGGCATACCCAGCAGGGCATGGTTGAAGTCGTGTATTTCGCGGTATCGCTGCATCACGTACGCCAGGTCAGGGTCATCCACGAAGTGCACAGGCGTGCGCGAATCCGACGTGATCCTCTGCAAGTAAATGAAATCTCGTTATGTGCTGTATTGGCTTGTTGCAATTACAGGTAAGGGTGGCACAACCACAATCGGGGGAGGTCCACATCAAGGGGGAGGGATTAAGACCCGATCACAATCAACTTGGCTGCAAACACAAATTCAAATCTGTAATATCCAGTGTTGTAGTCTAGACCATCAAAAGACCAGACACAAGACCAGACATAAGACCAGGCACAACACCAGTCACAAGTAACAGGGTGAACAGTGACAAAGGAAAGCTTTTGTTGCAGTTCAGTTCTGAATAGCTTGTGACTTGAATTCAGACTGGAGGTCTTTTGTGGTCTTGTGAAGGTCTTAAGTGGTCTCAACTACAACACTGGTAATATCATGGCAACTTTGGCAGATTGTCATCCTGAAAGATCCTCCATCCAGCCGGTATCAACAGTAAGCAACAAGCAATCCCTGAACAAACCACAGGATGTGAATTTATGGGATTCACTGGAAGCAGGTAACAGTCAGGTACATAAAGCAGATCTGGGCTTTCTTTGAAGAAATAAACCCAGCAGTGAAGCCGTTTCATCAAATCTTAACAGTAAAAACACTATGACTTGTAAACTCTCCACCATGTGCCTTTTTCAGGAGGTAATTTCAGACTCTTTGAAGGTTTGGGGAATAACAGTAACAAGGGAACCGGGCACGCACCACTTTTGGTCAGGTGTTGGGTATGGGTTGCCCAACAAGGTGCAACTAATCACTCACATTCCTCTTCATGAAGTCGACGTACTCCCTTCCCAGGGTGCCTTGGGGCAGACTGGCCAAACAGTCCATGTCCACTGTTCTCGTGTTGATTCTCGGTCTGTCACTGACAAATGGAAACACAAAATGATAAATGCTATATTACCAAAAGAAAGAATGCCAAAACAAAGAAGTGTTTACGTATTCAAAGCTATCATCTCCTGCAAAAAGTAGATCATTGATTAACATACATTCACAGCTCAGCCATTCCTATTCCTCGACAGCCCATCGTGTGGTGGTCTTTAACGGTTGATGAAGCACTGGCTGGCTATCTTTTCCGTTACCACATGAAATTTCAATAGACTCCTGGGAAATCTGGTACCTTTTCCCTTGTACAGGTTGAATGTTTATACTCTTCATTTATTTGCAGAGTACTGCCAGCGAATGGGCATTTTGAGAGTCCCAAAGTCACACAACACTTGCTCCTTGCATTCTGCGCAACCCCATGCCGTAGCGCCACGTACGCACCAATCTTCACATGAGGAGATTATTTACAAATGTACAACTACTCACAAGACTCGGCTGTTTCTGATTCCCTTCCTTGATTCCTGAGGGCCCTAAAGCAGGCTTTCTTATCGGACACGTAATTCAACCTATTTTTATATTTTTTTTTTCTTTCTGGCTGTCACTTTGATCACCAGTGTGGGGACCGTTGTTTTCTTTGTTCTATATAATTTGTCTTGTTAACGTTATGTGCGGGGCTGCATACCCGCAGGTAATAGCAGTTTATTTCACTTTGGCAGTCACTGACCCACATAACTGTTATTTGTCTTGTTATGGATTCGGAATTTCGTCCTTGGTCCCTGCTACTGCTTATATGTGTGTTTTGGTTGTTTTTTACATACTTTTTGTTCAATTTTGCTTTGTCTGTTCTTGTGATGGCCAAATAAATAATAATAATAATAAGAGGCACGTAAGCATGGAAGATTTGCAGGCACATCACGTAAGCTCATGTCTTTTTGAGCTGTGGGCTTCTGAGAAGAACAAGCCATTTCAACCCGACGTTACAAGCTAATCTGTCAAACTCTAAGCATGACCCTAGTCTAGCAGTCTCCTGATGGTGCACTGAGCACAGTGCTTGAGATATCAAGTTGAAAAAGTGCTTCCTTGAAGAACCAGGCAGCTCAAAAATAGATGTTCACTTCTGTGGTGTCACCGCAAACCTCCCACACTTTCTTCATTTTCATCCTAAAAACCTACCTGTCTCTGTCAATTTATACCGTTTTCTTACATCTTGAAAATTTATAGCCGTGTTTGTAAGTTTGCCAGAGGTGTGGTTCTGCTGTCAGTTAAAAGTAAATCAAGGGATTGGGTGGCTGAAGATGGTAATTGCACCACTGATAAGGAGCAACGGTAATGCACAATTACGGTAAATAATTTCAACACGATTAAACGGGGCGACTTTTCTACAAAACGAGGTTGAATACTGCAGCCTTGTCCTCCGTGGAATAAACATGACTGCCTGCTAAGATACGTGTACAAGAACATTGCAGCAATGAGACCAACAGGTGAAAGTTTTGCCGCAGAGTAGCAGGGTCAGTCTCCCTCATCGGAGCATGTCCACTTTCCACATTGTCTCATTTTACCGGCCGTCAACTCACTCGAGTATCTGTGTGCCCTCGGCATCAGCTAGCATCTTGTCGCGAAGCCTCTGTAATGCGTAGTGTCCGGTCACCTCGCCTAGTGTTGCAACCATATCTGTCACAGTGCACAAAACTTGTCATTTTCTACCTTTGAATTGAAAACCTGAACCATACGAGAGAAAAAAAAGAGGACAGTGTCCTCCAACCCACAGAAGTAGCTTGGCGGCCCACCAAGTTTTACTTGTCTCCCGCCAAGTTTAAAAAGTACCTGCCAAGCTTTAAAATCTGGCAGCCAAGTTTTGACTTATAAACTGGTCTACAATTAGATAAAAATGTAAAAAAAATTGCATCCGAATTTTGGGTGAAAAACATCTCGTTGTAACATGCCCACAAAGGCAGAAACCCTTAATTCCAAAAATGGGAAGCGAGGTCCTGAAGGTCTGCTTTTCAATATTTTTCAGTTTCAACCACGATTTAAAATCTGGAGAAAAACTGGGTAATCCTTATTCTCAGCTGTATTCTAGATGGAAACCATGCCAATTATAGAACAATACACACACCCAACAGATTTTACAGTGGGTCGCCTGCTAGGTGTAGCAAGATCCAACAGGTCAGCTGTCCCTGAGGGCCAATCAGCCTACCAGCCAATTTAAGATCAGTGGCTTTTTACTCAGGCTGACTAACACTGTCTTTAGACTTGGGAGTTTCTACTGCTCCTGTTGACTGCCAAGTTCAACAGAAACCCTCCCCCCAGTAAGGAACCCCCTTTCCTCATTCAAATCCCCCAAATAAACGGCCACGCTTCATAACCTTATGGAACTTGAAAATGTCAGGGGCTGGATACAGACATCTTTTCAACAACTCTAATAATTACAAGTACATTACACCATAGAGTCGGTGTAATTATGTTGGTGTCTACAATGGACCTGGCTCAAATATTATGTTTATCAGTTTGAATCACCAGAATTCTACAAATAACCTTTTTGTAGATTTGGTCATAATTCCGCATTACTCTTGCCAGATTATGACAAAATGTCAAAAGAGGTGATTTGCAAAATTCCAGTCACTCGGATTAGTGTTCAATTTGCACTGAGATCTTTGAGAAGGCTTGATTTAATGGCAAAGTGGGAAAAACAAGTAATTTATGAAGTTCATTACCATCTCGATACGGGTCATAGAATGACATGAAGGCTGATCCCATCGCAAGCAGTCCCTTCTGTAGCACAGTAGTTGGGATGTGTTCATCGTATAAACACGGATTGTCGTCGCTGGCCTGGGAACCAAACTGATTGGTGACTTGGTCTTTATCTGAGCAAAAAAAAAGGCATAAAAATGAGATTTGAAATGAGATGTGCAATATACATGTACTGTCTGTCATTATCCATGATTATTAGCGCATGAAAATAGGAATGCCTAAGTACTTTATCATATAAAGAAAAAATAAACATTTCATCAGAACTCTGTAGCACATAGGCCTAAATAAAATTGAGATATATGAATCAGAATATTGGGGGTTAGCTGAAGTTTCATTAATTGCAAAATTTGAGGTAAACATATTGCTCCAGGAGACAAGAGAGAGGGACCTACAGTACCCCCAGAACTGTGGGGTCTGTCGTCTGCTGCACTCCCACACACTCCGCAGTGGACGACAGACCCTAAAGTTTTGGGGGTAAAAGACATGCATAGGCTTTGTGAAAGGGTCCTGAAAGTAAATAACACCTAAGGATTACCAAAGTTTAAAAGAAATGTTACCACAGCCAAATGTTATGGATGTCAAAACTTTGCATGCTACAAAACCTACGCTGAAGTGCGGTGATAAAAATATTAAATAATTCTATAGTACAGGCCCTAAATGAAATTTTAAAAATTATCAAGTCAGGGGATCTTCTTACCATCTAAATTGGCCGCAAAGTTTTCATCACCATGGCGACCGAGGTTTTCCTCGTGTTCCCTTTGGTTGATGCTTTCACAGTAGCTGTGTTGCCCTTCCAACCCGAATTGTGCAGTTGTCGATGCAAGCCTACCAAATTTTCGGCCACCAATTTGACCCTTTAAATGCCGATATCGACAAACTAAACCATTTCTCAACTGTGCTATGATAACCTTAGAGTGTGCCATGATTACAGAAGTTCAGATTCCTTAGCAAAATGCTGACAATATTTGCGTACTTTTCTGAACATCTTGACTGTGTAAATATAAACATGTGTTCCTTAAATGCTAATGAGGCCAAATTTAACCAATCATTTAGCAACGATTTTCAGTTGACCTCCGAAGTTGCCTATCTAATGAAGTCTGGCTCCGAGCCAGTTATGTATCGAGTGTTTTCAGATTATCATCTGTGAGGAAGCGGAGGCAATTACCAGACGTCGAAAGGGTGACAAGCCGGATACTAGGCATGCAAGGAGCAGACGAAGTCCACTCCAAATTGGTCCTTAAATCAACTCCATTTTGGCCCGTGGAATGACTGTCAGTGAAAAGTGTTCTCAGTCGGATACTCCTTTATGAAAAACACAGTCCATCATTCAGCCACTACTTGTCAGTTCTGCTCTGTGAGTGAATACACCGCCGTTGCCAGGTAAGCGTTTGCTGTGTTCTGTATTTTCTTGCCTTGTTCGCTGTGGCATGTGTCGTGTGTCTGCTGTGCCAGCGCACACAGCCTGCATGCTATATACACTTGTACATGTACAGTGTACGATGCAGGCCTTAACTAAAATCCTGTGACTTGTACCATAGTTTTACTATTCTGTTTTCCTTCCTCCATGCTTGTACCCTTTACACACAGTTCCTTCAAACAGTTAAGACATTAAGGAAAGAGTTCCATATACCTACATCATACATGCTCCACTTGACACCCGGCACACGAACATTATGAGACTGGTATGAAAAATTCTAAAGAATTGGTATTTTTCCTGCTAAATCAACTTTTCTGGACATGTTTTTGTTTTCTGACGGCTAATAAGTCTCTGTAGGAAATATTTACTGGCATTTGTATATGGAACTCTTCCCGCTTAAATACAAGTTTCTGCATGCTGCAGTTGTCTGGTTGTCTGCTAGGCCTAACACCAGCATTTTTTCCTGTTCGATACAGAACTTAGGAGTTATATAGGCTCCAAAAAATTCTTGAAATCATCAATATCAACTTTTCCTCACACAATTTCCTCACACATTGCCAGCTAGGCTTAAAATAAACCAAAAAAATAGTAAACAGTACCCTCTGTGATGCGTACATACAAGTGAGTCTTTTTTACCAGTGATTTTCAAGCACAGGTCGTAGTCTAGTGGCTAACGCATACGTAATGGAGCCCACATGTGAAGCTCCCAGCTGGGTTCGATTCGTAGATACGTACATGTATACCCACTTTGTTTTTATCCCCAAAAATTAAGACTATTCTCCTTTGATATTTTTAAATTAACCTAAACATTTTATTACAGAATTTTGTTTTTCTGATTTGTGGCTGTGAAGGATTTTTATTAAAGGGAAGAATGTGCTATATTATAAAATGGTCTGGAAAGAGTTTCATGCATGGACATCACTTGACACCCTGTGCACAAATACTTTGTGACTTGTCTGAAAATCTTAGAGTTTTCTACTGTAAGTAGGAATGATTCAATATTTTCACTGTTATACTTGACTTTTGGAGAGATGTTGTTACTTTCTGATGGCTTATATTAAACCACTGCAAGGGAAAATACACATAAGGGATTTCCATATACATGTATGGAACTCTCACCATGGTCTGATTCCCACCTTGTAAATACAAAAAGACAGTGATTTTGTTGGTGCAGAATCAGACTGACAATTTTTGGCCACAGAATCAGACTTGAAAATTAGTCCCCATTCCAGTTAAATATCCAAAAAGCCCTAAGTACTGTTTTCCTCAAGCATGTAAGGGGTCCTTAGCTTAGGGAGAAAACAGTCAATGCAGAAATATTCAGTTTTAAGTAAAACCCTGGATAAATAGTGTGGGGAAAACCCACAGAATCAGAAATGAACTGAAAAACTAATCAATGTTTTGACCTTGGAGGGAGTCTAACATCAGTCCACATCGTTAGTATTATTTTTACCTTGAACATTGCCACTGGCCTACTGTACGTACAAGAAATACAAGCGACAAAACCGATATGCCCCATGCCCAAATGAATACGACTTAACTTGACTCAGGTATGAGCTCAACTAACCTGGGTACGAGTTAACTTGGTGCAAGTCAACCCATTTCACCAATATAGATATCTCACATTTCTAGAGGTTCCTTTACTTTTTAGGTCACAGTCACGTCCAGCCCGTAGCAGTGGGTACTTCCAAAAATTAGGGGCCATTTTTTTCTTGTCCCTGTCGCATCTGACATATGATTTTGTAAACTGTTCAGAACACATTTTCTAATTTCCAAGAGTGATGAATTAATGCGAACTACCGTACCTGCCAAACAAATAGTAATAGTTTGAAATCAATTCCAGTGATATTTCCATGTCAAATAACAAAGGTCAGATGTAACAGGGACACAAAAAGGTCACATTTATAGACCCCTAGTTTCTGGAATTACCCAAGTAATCTGGTGGCCCACCAAGTTTTGCTTATTCCCACCAAGTTCATAAAATAGTCACCAACTTTAAGGTCTCAATGCCAAGTTTAATATCTCAGTGGTGCTATGTACATATTACATGCTGGAATATGTTATCTCACACAACAATATCATGATGAAAAAAGCTCCTAAGAATACATCTACCGGTAATTTGTAAACTGCCTTCAATTTCTATGAAGGAAAAAAGTATCTGTGTAGATACCCCGAAATGCACTAAACTTGAACTTACAAAAATGGGGTGGGGGGAAGTAGTCGTAGTCTTTCTTGTGGATTCTTCTCTCCAAGTTATCTTTATATATTTATGAAGTGTACTTTCAAGGCACAGCCATTTTCCAAACAGCCAGTTTAGTATTCCAACAGCTGCGCATACCTAAAAATATCACGCTTCTGAGGTCATTTGGGCGTGTGTGCGAGGTCTGCCCTACATGTATCAGCACGTAGGGCGGCCAAGTTTGTGATCTGGACACGCTTTGATACGAACACTGCAATCAGACAAGATTGATTGGTGATGCTACCTCATTGTTAACAAACGCGTCACCTGAACTGAAGTTCTGCTCTATGTTGAGACTAAAAACTCGTCGCATTTTCAATTTTACACTTCACACTTTTCGTGCAACATGTGCGGTTGTTTTGGTGCATGTACTGCAGTTGTGTTTTTTTTTTTTCCGAAAGTACGGATATAAAAAATTTGTATCAATAAATTGTATCCTGAAAGAATGTACATGTATTGCGATGCACCGGTTTATCGATGTATCGTTGCAGCCCTGTCGGTGCGGTCCTATGCAAACCCACATGAGTGCTTTTCCCACGAAGGACCTTTCTTTTTTTTAAACTGAACTGGCTCATTCATCATACATGTACATGTTTGCGTCTGCAAATATTCACCTTTAGAGTCACACTTGCACAATTTCCTGCTTTAAATTGTGAGCATTCACCAACTGCAGGCTGGTCAATAATTGATAAGAGTGCCAAAGGTTCACGTTCTCATTTCTGTCTGAACCTACCTGTTTTTGTTGTGTATAACCGGTTAATTTATCATTGTCAATAAAAACAGTTTACCCTAACAGTCCTCATTGTTTCACCTGTTGGAGGATTGAGCACTGGTGATAATGGTTAGAACCTACATACGTGTACAATGTACTGTACGTGTACATGTATATGTACGCAGAGACTGTGGGTTGGAGAGGGGACAGGGATCATACTGTTTATGGGTACATGTACCTTGCCTTCCTTAGGCTTTCATTGCTAGCCCATCAATTTATCATGGACTGGAGTACATGTACAAGAGCATTTGTAGTCGCTGCACTTAGTCATTGCAAGATTGTGCACATTCAGATGAAAATTAGCTGCTTTGCATATATTATTTCGTGCATACATGTATTTGCCAGTCAGCCTGTGCCTGCACGTACTACCGGTATGTCCTTTGTACTCTCATGAGTGATCACTCAAAGACATCTGCTGTTTTTGCAATTAGCCCATTGATTGATAATAAAGGTTCATTTGGCTGTTTCCCAGAACTGAGTATCATCTTTTGCAGGGAAAATTGACACCACTACCAGTGTATCAATGAGTAAAAACGTCATACATTCATGTACGTACATGTAAAACAGCACATACCAGTAGAAGGAAATACATGTTTCTGTTTTATACAGGCATTATACAAATTCCAGTCTTGGCACTAGCCAAAAATGCATCTACCCCCAGTACATGTAACTGGAACTTTAGTGTTACAGCCAGAAATTTGGAATAGGTTCATCGCCTCCAACTACATGTATTAAACGGTAACATTCCCCTTTGGATTCTGTGCTTGAACCAGAAATGACACATTTGTTACAGCCAGTGCAAGTGACGTTCTGTTGGGAGTGACAGGTTGGTGCTCATATTGCGTGGTGTATCTGTGATCAACTTTTATTGGAATTGGTGTTCCCCAGGGGTGCTGATGAGCATGGCATACACGTAGCTCGAGAAAAAAATTTGGAGGGAATCAAATGCCCACAGCAAATTGTGTCTTGCCACTTGCCAACCCAGATGGCAGGGCTCTCCGTGTACATGTACATGTCCATACATAGTACGTACATGTACATGTACATGTACATGTATGTAGAGTACATGTAGCTCTTTTGCATTTGCTCTCAATCATGTCAATCCATTCCTCCAAGTAAGCAATCTTACATTCTGTGGCCTTGTTTACCTGTCAGAAGAATGTAAAAGTGAACCATTCCTTGAAATTTTTCCCCTTTTAATTTGTAAATTCAATTTACATGTAATTGTTTCTTTGGGGGGGGAGAAGGTATTATTGACAAGATTGGGTGAGGTACATGTAATCATGAAAATGAGTGAGGTGGGGCCACTTCACATTTAAATACAAATGTAGGTTGGGGAAACCCTGATTGGAATCATCATTCTCCACATGGATAATGAATTTCAATACCTGTTGAAACAATCTACCACCAGCCTCTGTTCTTTGCCATGGAGGGGAACTTATTCACAGCTAAAAACATGTACTGGTGCATGTACCTGTACCTGGCCCACCGTGGCTGTCATTTCTTCCGTATGAAAAGTGATGATTCAGTTGGTTCCTTCAAGCTCACCTTTCATAGGTGTACCGTGCATGTACATGTACAGCATTTGAGTGACAATCAAAGGGTTCTTTGAAATCAGCTGTCCGTGGCATGATCACACTATACTGTGGTTTTCTTTTTTTATCATTACAGCCAAGGGCCTAAGGTCACAGTGATTCAGTACGTATCAGTTCAAAATTGTGAGCAGTAACAGACTTGAAGCAAGGTTCATACTGAGTGGCTTCAGAAAAGTCAGTGTTGTATTCAAAGAGATCTTTTAAAAATGTACAGTCTCCATATGCAGGTGTTTAGGGAATACATTGTAAATTTGTTCTTTACCCCAAACCCCCAGGGTGTATGTAAGATCGTATTGGAATTGGAGGATTTGGGACTGTTAGGGGTACAGTACGGTATTTAATGCATCATTGCACTTG